CCCCAAAACCCCAAAACCCCAAAACCCCAAAACCCCAATGCTTCCTATAAATATTGATTAATATAGATATGGTAAATGATGCAGTCAAGAAAAAGTACAGAAGAATGCAGGCTCAGCTCCACAAGAACCTTGCCTCTCAGTCTGACGACCAATGGTATGGAGACATGACTCTGTTCAATGGCACTTTCATCAAGCTTTGGAATGGCACCATCAGAATGCTTCTTGGAGATTTTTATCAATACTATGATCCCGATGATGGATGAGAAAGCCAAGAGCTCAAAGAACTCATACAAAAAGCACACAACGACTACCTTGAACGCTTCATGAGATTGGCCATAGCTTTGCAGTATATCCTCATCGTGACATTATGAATTGGCGCGATAAATGCTGATTGGAGTAAACCTACTTTTATTTCGAAAGTTATAACCACGGCTATAACAACAGTGATCATTCATGCTGTAAATCACTTTAAGTCAAGAGTCCCTTTCTTACTTGACTCGATGTTTCCAATAATGATGTTCATCAATGGAGTACTTATCACTTTTGAGAACTGTCTCCTCCCAGAATATCGATTTTATGAAATGTGGATAATCTGGTACTTTAAAATATTCTGACTAAGCGTAGTTTATTCACTTAAATGACACTATATAATCATTTCCTATGTCTCAGTGCAAGTGATATGATTAGTCTCGATTCATTACTGATTTGACGGCATTGATCCCTTCATTACTGGAATGATCATATTCGGCATCATCTGATACTGAATGATCAGCCTTACTATCTCAAGTGTGTTCCATAATCAACTAAGGTTGGTAAATAAAAATAAAAGTCTTGTCGGTACAATTCAGAACATCCTTGAAGTGATGCCGTATGGTGTTTTAATCAACTCAGGCCCATCTGAAAGAAAGCCTGTTATCAAGTATGCTAACGATGAGATAGAGAAACAGTTATTTCAAAAAGACAGCATAGATAACAAGCCAGTCAACATTCTTACTCTAAAATGTAGAGCTCCTGATATTTGACACAACACATGTTTTAAAGAGGAGTTGAAATATCAATCTGATTCAGAGTCTGACACTCAAGTTATAAAGATCAGTGAGATTTTATCAAAAATTCAAGGTAAAATAGACACCCATTCAAGAATGGTCAAGACCGAAATTGAAGTTCAAAGCTGAGATAATCATGAACTGGAGCTTACTGAGGACTACTCCTACGTCATCAAATCAATTCCTGTAATCTGGGACAAATAAGGAATCATACTTGCACCTGATGTGTGACATTACCAGTTTAAAACAGCTCGAAAGTGCAAAAGCAACCAACAAGTGAATGCATATCATGTTTTCAAGTGTCAGCCATGAATTCAGAACTCCTCTAAATTCCTTTAGAAATATCCTTGAGTTGTTTAAAGCTAGTTTTGAGAATATGAAGGAGATTATATCATCACATCCTCTTCCTTCATTTGATCAGCTACAAATCAACTCTCTCTTTCTCAACTGTCAAAAATACTTCAACATTGGAAATATCTCAGCTAAAATTCTTGAAAACTTAGTTGAAGATGTCCTGGACTTTGCCAAGATAGAAGCGGGAACTTTCAGACTAAACCCAAAAGCCTTCACTATCCATGACCTTTGTGAGGAAGTTTCCTACCTCTTCCAGAATCAATGCCAGAGAAAAGGTATTGACTTCAGAGTCAACTGAGCCCAATCGCTTAGGCAGCAGGTGTTTTATAGCGATAGCTCAAGGATTAGACAGGCTCTCCTCAATCTCATCTCTAATTCAATGAAATTTACACAGAAAGGATTCATCCAAGTCACTATTTTCAGAGATGACCAAGGTCTTGAGAGGTATCTCAAGTTCATAGTCGAGGATACAGGTGTTGGAATTTCTGAGGAAGATCAAAAATCTCTTTTCAAGCTCTTTGGAACTGTCCAAAAATATAGAAATGGTATCAACCTCAAAGGAACTGGTCTTGGACTTACTATCACACAGAAGTTGGTAAATCTTCTTGGAGGTGTTATTTTATTGTCATCAAAAGAACATAAAGGGACAATAATTGAGTTTACAATCAAAGAGTTTGACCCTGAAGATTGCGAGTCACCCCAAAATGTAAATATCCTTGACCCAAATACCGAAGTTCATCACTCCATAAAAAAACCCTCTCTTATAAAAATGCCTAAAGGTAACTTAACAAGACTAATCTCATAGAAATCAAGGAAGAGTCTAAAGATCATCAGGTACCGAAAATCCTGACCGTAAGTTATGTCTTTCCCTTATCAAATAAATAATCACCTCAACATTATAACCAGTCAAAACTACCTCCTGAGCTTATCTCAGTCTAACATCCTAATATTTATCAATAGAACATAATATACCCAACAGATGGATGCATCAGCCCTCGGCTTCTAAACGAGAAATCCTTAACCAATGGATGGGTATCAAGAGTTCCTGATTTTAAACCTCAGGAATGAGACTTAAAAAGAGTAATGGGCCACTAGCCATTTTATAAATTTCTATATCCACCTTATACTCCGGGGTTTTGGGGTTTTGGGGTTTTGGGGTTTTGGGG